AAGATTGTTTCGTGTATGAAGGAAGTTATAATAATATTTACAAAGTTTGAAAAGCTTTTACGGTGTTACAATAACTCTGCTGGTAGCCAAAAAGGAAAGTAGTGAGTGTTGATATTTGTGAGTATCCACGATGCTGATGGAGTGTTCACCGGGCAGAGACAATAAAGCCATGGAAATAGTCTAACTGTTGATGAATTTACAGGATATTTCACACACTTGCTTACATTCCCTGAGATACTGTACGTTTCGAGTGGCAAGAACAATGAATGTTTGATCATTGTCTTAGTAAAAATATGATGCAAATACTCACGATTGTAATACTTGGTTTGCTGCGCGTGAACAAGAAGGCGGCATCGTTATCCTGACCAAAGATACACGCATATCCAGGCCAGAAAACAAGACTTAAATTTCGCGAAATTTCAAGAACGTTATTAATAAGGAAAGCTTCGGTTAGGTTAGGTTGATTTTTCGTCAATTTAGGTTAAGTGGAGGTTACGAATACTGAGCACCGTGTAAACAATCGATCATCATCAAAATCAAAGACATATAGTAAGAGCCACTGCCATAAAACATTGTGGTAATATTAATACTGGTAAGGTCGTCAGTGGTATTACAAGCAACGGAATATAATTTTCTTAAAAATCGCGTTTTCATATTTCATGTTTAACAGAATGTTTTTACTGACATTTGTTTTTTTCCTATATTTTATTATCCTATTCATAGTGTGGGTGAGAAACAACTGACACACGGGTGAGCCTCTGTAGCCTTATGTTTGTCGCCAGTCCTACTTAGCTAGTTTCTTGTATATTCAGCTCATGTTAATATTTAAAAGCAATTAAGACATTAACATGATATGGTGATAATGACGATTAACCTGTAATATGTATTCATATTTCCACAGATACTGGCGAGCATATTGGCAGCGGCCACGGCCGACTCACTTCAGAGCTACAGCCTACCATCACCCTCTGGCTCTGGCTTCTCCACCGGCAGCTCCTCTACCGGCACAGGATTCTTTGGGGGCTCAGGATTTTCTGGGGGCTCAGGGATCTCTGGAGGTTCAGGGTTCTCTGGAGGTTCAGGGATCTCTGGGGGTTCAGGGATCTCTGGAGGTTCAGGGTTCTCTGGGGGCCCCGGCCCGTTTGACAGCAGCTGTGGAGGAGGGCAGGTTCGTCATGTGGACGGCAGCTGCGTGACTCCTCAGTTCACCCGAAACTTGTTCCGGTACAGAGTTCCTCCAGCAACCCCGATCTTGGGTCCACGACCAAACGTTCCTCCACCAAGAGTTGAGGACAATATACTCTTCATCGAATTTCCAGAAGGACTCCTCAACCAAGATCCTATTGTGGTACCACCACCACAACAAAGAAACGTTGTGTACGTCCTCAACAAGCGGCCTCACCAAGATCACACGGTTGTCCACGCACCAGGACCTGAACAAGCGGCTCCTGAGGTGTTCTTCGTCAACTATGCTGAGGGCGAGAACCCGACATTACCCAGTGGTGGAGACCTCCAGTCCGCCCTCAGCTCAGCCTCTGACGGTAGCGGTGAACTGGTCGGTAGCAGTGGTGGCAGCATTGGCGGCACTAGTGGTATTGTTAGCGGCGGTGGCAGCGGGATCTCCTCCCCGTCTGGTCTGTACGGTCTTCCCTAAGTCACCCCGCTCCCCGCCCCTCACACATATGCCTTAACTGTAGAGCTTCATGGCTGGTGTATTTAAGGTCGATAGTAAATGCTGTTATTGTTGCCACATCTTGTGGTAGTTATATATTGCTATTTATTCTTTGTTGAAAATGCTTTTATCTTTAATAATCGCCTCTGGTATGCCAAGCCCACCAAAATGTTACAAGGATAATAAAATATGAAATAGTGTTCTTAACATATTATTATCCTCTTCGTTTATATTAATAATAAATGATGATAAAGCAGACCCTTATTGTACGTTATTAGCAATAACTGCCATGATAAAACAGAAATTCATAAAAAATAATGAAAATATACTTACACGTGTATTGTAATCGAGCAATCACACCAGATTATGTTCCGGACGTAACATCCAGGTAGTTATTGGCTTTGGTCTGGCACTTCTCCGTGGCTCTCAGACAGCCGTTTCCTCCACATAACCCTTACCTATTTATGAAATATGTACCCAAGTGTAAAGAGTATTCCCTATTGACTGTATCTATTGTTTAAGAACAAAACTAATAACACATCCCAAATCCGGTGTCCGGATGAATTAAATGACCAGGATTTAATAATAACACGTCACCCCATACAACTCAACATATTATTTTCTTTACTTGTAATAATCAGGACGTCATTCGCCTTCGTCAGTATCTAATATTAGTTGTTTATCGAATGTGTAACGTCGTCAACAATTGGTGTCGATACCAACTGAAAAAAGAATGTGACGAGGACCCCAGCAAGTACATCAATTCTTAACGAAAATACACATTAACATGAGTCTGTACACAAACAACAGGTGAAAACTCCTCCTCTTCCCTTTAAATTTATGAAGCAATGGCACATACACTTAGTAACTTTCCAAGCTCAAGTGTTTTATGGTAGAAGAAAACATAATCACATTGTTTTCAGAAGTGATGATGACAGTGAGGGAGGCTGCTGCGTCACATCGTGCACGGATCAACAACCTCACCTATTATACAGTAAGTCTTTGGGTCAAGCGATATTATTTACTTTAGGTTCCACAATGCGAGTCTTGTTTGACGTGTTGTATTGGTGTTCCATCCAGTACTTATTTGTTTGCTAATTACGACTTGGAATTCTTACTGCTAATGCATACCTCCTTTTATCAGTTTCATGTTAATAACAGTGTTTACATCTAGCGACTCTAAAAGTAGATCCCCAGTTGGCCAAAGATGATCCATTAGCAAATTTCCTAATATATACAAATAAGAGAATCCACCTCTACAGATAGACCTAGCATGAGCCACTTCTATGGACTCTGGCGGTTAAAAAATTTATATATATATATATATATATATATATATATATATATATATATATATATATATATATATATATATATATATATATATATATATATATATATATATAGTGTTTTCAAGGTGTGAAGCTGCATTTAAGAAGGCTCGAGATGGGGGGAAAACCCTTAATACTCGGAAAAAGACTCCAGATCCCAGACACGTATTTTATGTGTTCATCGGGACACTGGCGAGGCAACAGTCTGGAGAAATGATGAAGAAACATATTCACTTCCTTTCCAAATTTTCGGGTATTAAAGATTATCCAGTCGGAAGTGTCAGGGGCATTCGCATATTTCAGTTAAAAATAAATAAATAAATAAATAAATACTAATGAAACCTAAGTGTGGTACAGTCGCGAGCCAGAGGTATAGTAGAGATTTAATAAATTTTAATATAAGAAATGTTTCCACGATAAGAAACATGTTTTAATTTTCACTAGAAATAAATGATTTCCCTGAATTCTTTTTATTTACTTTTTTTTTTACCTTTCGTGAAATGCACAGGGGAAACTATCAGCTGGGCCGGGCGATGTTGGTGACCATGTTTGTTTGTTGAGGCTAAACAGTCGATAAAAACCAACGGAGCTGAACCCACAAACCTTATATACCTTTTATGTTAGGTTAAGTTAGGGCAAATTAGGGTAGGTTAGGATGTTTGATTAAGTTAGGTTATTACACTAGGCTTAATGTTACGTCAGATGAGGGTAGGTTAGATTAGGTTAGTTAGATTAAGTTAGGTTATGTTAGGTTAAGTTACATCAGATCAGGTTAAGTTAGGGTAGATCAAGTAAGGAATAGTTTAAGTCTGTTAGGTCAGGTCAGGTTACGTTTGGTTTGGTTAAGTTAGGTTAGGCCAGATGATATTGGATTAGGCCAGGTTAGGTTAGGTTGAGTTAGGTTAGACCAGGTTAAGGAAAGTTAAGTTAGGTTATATCAAATTAGGTCACATAAGGTTAGGGTAGGTTAGGTCGGGTTAATTACGTTGAGCTGGATAGATTTGGCGACTTTGTTTCATCTGTCAGATATAAATTGGTATCTAACATCACGGCGCTCACTGTGACACATGATTAAAATACCCCAAAAATTACTTCAGGAAACTATAATTAATTCTTTAGCACCAAGAAACATATTTTTGTTGTGGATTTGTTTTCATAATGAGTAGTTATACTTAATAAATACCGGGATATATTAAGTGCGTGAAGAGTCATGAACTTAAGTCCTCTATACGATTTGACTCCAAACTGTTGAAAGGAAAGTCTCCCAACTGCTCATCTGCCCACAGATGGCGTTGTAGTACCTTGCACATATTTACAAACAAGAGTGAAGACACATTTGCTGGCAACTGTACCGGTATGATCATTATTTACAAACACAGAGAATGATGTCATGGGCAGACACAGATCATACTTAACATTATTAAAAAAAACTGATGTATTGACTATGAGCTGCTAAGAAGCATCTACCCATTGGTAATTTAAAAACAGCAAATTTATCATTTTAAATTCAAATTCGAGAAAGCCAATGAGGGCGCATGAAAAGATAAATGAACGCAAAATTTACATTTAAACAAAGCTTTTAAGAAAATTACTTGTGAATTTGTTGACGGATGAATAGTGAGGTGTGTGTCGTGTGGAGGTGAGCCGAGGCCCTCGTCCAGCGTGTGACAGGCAGGTGACCATCACCAGGTGGACCCTGGACAGCTGGAACATTACCACAGCTAACACCATATTCCTCTTCCGAGCTCATTTGGAAAAGATTACAGTATAACAAATAATAACTTATTATTCATTTAGAGAAAAGGTTAACATTGAAGGCCCTTACCAATGAGATAAAAATAAGATAAAAATACAATAATCAAAACAAAATAAACAAATAAGAATAAAAAAAAAAACATTCAGGTCAAAACGTAAGAGGGAAAGTAGGTGGCGGTCTCTTGCATGCGTCAGATGAGATTCTTGAAGTGAGAGGAGAGGGAGGGAAGGGAAGGGACTATTGATGAAGGACACATGCAAGTCTTTGAGAGTATATAAAGAGGGAAGGACTCGAGTGGACAGTACACTCCACCATGAAGCTCCTGGTGAGTTGTCTCTCTTCTTCTCTGAGTGTGACCATAAGGACTAGCCAGTGTTACGTTCCACAAACCCGGACAGTTACCCGGGATGTATATACGTGAGGCGACTTAGTGATGAAGTGTTCTCCACCAGCCAGTCGTCTGAGGAATAACTCTTGTGATCGGAAAAAACTAATTAATTACAAAGAGCTGCCAAAAAAACGATAGTGTCGGTCCAGGCGTTCTGTGGCTATCTGTTACCGACCACTTCACACGGGGTTCCTCTAACAGTATTAGAGTACACGTTGCAGATTGTTAAAATGATTCTTTAAATGTTCAATGTCCTAAGATTGTCTCGTGTATGAAGGAAGTTATAATAATATTTACAAAGTTTGAAAAGCTTTTACGGTGTTACAATAACTCTGCTGGTAGCCAAAAAGGAAAGTAGTGAGTGTTGATATTTGTGAGTATCCACGATGCTGATGGAGTGTTCACCGGGCAGAGACAATAAAGCCATGGAAATAGTCTAACTGTTGATGAATTTACAGGATATTTCACACACTTGCTTACATTCCCTGAGATACTGTACGTTTCGAGTGGCAAGAACAATGAATGTTTGATCATTGTCTTAGTAAAAATATGATGCAAATACTCACGATTGTAATACTTGGTTTGCTGCGCGTGAACAAGAAGGCGGCATCGTTATCCTGACCAAAGATACACGCATATCCAGGCCAGAAAACAAGACTTAAATTTCGCGAAATTTCAAGAACGTTATTAATAAGGAAAGCTTCGGTTAGGTTAGGTTGATTTTTCGTCAATTTAGGTTAAGTGGAGGTTACGAATACTGAGCACCGTGTAAACAATCGATCATCATCAAAATCAAAGACATATAGTAAGAGCCACTGCCATAAAACATTGTGGTAATATTAATACTGGTAAGGTCGTCAGTGGTATTACAAGCAACGGAATATAATTTTCTTAAAAATCGCGTTTTCATATTTCATGTTTAACAGAATGTTTTTACTGACATTTGTTTTTTTCCTATAATTTATTATCCTATTCATAGTGTGGGTGAGAAACAACTGACACACGGGTGAGCCTCTGTAGCCTTATGTTTGTCGCCAGTCCTACTTAGCTAGTTTCTTGTATATTCAGCTCATGTTAATATTTAAAAGCAATTAAGACATTAACATGATATGGTGATAATGACGATTAACCTGTAATATGTATTCATATTTCCACAGATACTGGCGAGCATATTGGCAGCGGCCACGGCCGACTCACTTCAGAGCTACAGCCTACCATCACCCTCTGGCTCTGGCTTCTCCACCGGCAGCTCCTCTACCGGCACAGGATTCTTTGGGGGCTCAGGATTTTCTGGGGGCTCAGGGATCTCTGGAGGTTCAGGGTTCTCTGGAGGTTCAGGGATCTCTGGGGGTTCAGGGATCTCTGGAGGTTCAGGGTTCTCTGGGGGCCCCGGCCCGTTTGACAGCAGCTGTGGAGGAGGGCAGGTTCGTCATGTGGACGGCAGCTGCGTGACTCCTCAGTTCACCCGAAACTTGTTCCGGTACAGAGTTCCTCCAGCAACCCCGATCTTGGGTCCACGACCAAACGTTCCTCCACCAAGAGTTGAGGACAATATACTCTTCATCGAATTTCCAGAAGGACTTCTCAACCAAGAACCCATTGTGGTACCACCACCACAACAAAGAAACGTTGTGTACGTCCTCAACAAGCGGCCTCACCAAGATCACACGGTTGTCCACGCACCAGGACCTGAACAAGCGGCTCCTGAGGTGTTCTTCGTCAACTATGCTGAGGGCGAGAACCCGACATTACCCAGTGGTGGAGACCTCCAGTCCGCCCTCAGCTCAGCCTCTGACGGTAGCGGTGAACTGGTCGGTAGCAGTGGTGGCAGCATTGGCGGCACTAGTGGTATTGTTAGCGGCGGTGGCAGCGGGATCTCCTCCCCGTCTGGTCTGTACGGTCTTCCCTAAGTCACCCCGCTCCCCGCCCCTCACACATATGCCTTAACTGTAGAGCTTCATGGCTGGTGTATTTAAGGTCGATAGTAAATGCTGTTATTGTTGCCACATCTTGTGGTAGTTATATATTGCTATTTATTCTTTGTTGAAAATGTTTTTATCTTTAATAATCGCTTCTGGTAACCCAAGCCCAGCAAAATTTTATTAGCATAATAAATATACTATGAATGATGCCCTTTAACATTCATTTATCCTTTTCCTTATGATATTAGTATATAATAATAAAGCAAACTATTACAATATATTGTTGAAATTAAAATTTGAGTTAAAAAAAAACAAATTAGCAAATACGAGAGTAACTATACACTTACGGGGGAGTGTATCGTACCATGTTGTGGATTTGGGTTTGTGTTGAAAGCATTGAGGTACTGGTACTGACTGTGACTGGGATTTCATAGCCGTTTTCGGAGCTTGTGGTAATACGGCTGCCAAAACTGTTTCCTTCATTTAACCTTCACTTATGCATTAAAGACACACTCTACCTACTGTACATACATTCAGCAATCCCCTTTCATTGCACACTCGCACCAAAAAGTATCGGTGCAGGGTGAGATCGACGAGATCCGAAACGATACGTATACACTGTGATATGTCGGGAAGGTTGGTAAGTGTATCCTCATAACCCCCCCCCCCCTCCACTAGGTGTTGCCATATGGCTGACAATCAGGGCTGCCAACATACGGCTAGAACAACTCGCCTTTCCCAATACCTATCGTCACTGGTCTCAAATTGTTCACACTACAGTATGCACCGATACTTTTTGTTGCGAGTGTACCTACCGTTTTAAGGTAAAAGAAGCAGCCCCACTCCTAATAACATACCCAGGTGAACAATTTGACTAGCTCACATTAACAACAATGATGTGTGTTGTTTCTAAGTCATCATACAAAAAACGAAAGCAAATTAACCTCTCCGGTCACATTTTTCTTTAGTTATATAACAATTAGGACGTCACTTGCCTTCGCCAGTATGTTACTGGTTGTTCTCACGTCCGTACCTAGTGGTAATTAAGAGCAGAGAAAAGCACGCTGCTTTCCAACAAACTCTGACATTTTAACATAAAATTCCATGTACTTGAACATGAGTTTGTACACGAGTAACTAGTGGAAAGGTTGAAAAATATGAGTCAAAATAATCTTGAGCCAAAACTACAAACAATAAATGGCACGACCCACCCAACAAAAAAATATCTAGGGGATACGAAGAAAGTAATATGTACTACTGCATAATTATAATATATGACGTAATGTGTGTTTTTCAAAATCATTTTTGTGAAATAATACAAAACAATATTACCTGAGAACAAGCATTTTTTTTCTATTTATGAGAAACATAAGCCACCCATTTCTCTAAAACAAATAAATGAAGTTTAAGCTCTCGAAATTATGAAACATTTTTGCTGCAACTCATGCATATGTTATTAGGCCTAATAAAATAGTGTGATACATCCGAAAGCTAATTCCCACAACTCATTATACTTAAACCAATCAGAATTGGGGCTCATTTGACCAGTTGCCGAAGGGGAAGTAACCATAATGTACTGTACTACTGTTGCTCTCTTAAACCTAACCCCTGGTGCATACGGGGTCCTCTCTGTGCCAAGTAAAATCGTCTCGAGTTAGCCAAATAAAATGTTAAAAGTGGCGTCTCTGTAGTGAAGATGTTAAAAGACGTGTGGGTGAACCAACGTTGTCTCCATTAGACTTTTGGCTAAAGTAATGTATCAGAACATCTCCGATTTATTTATATTGTTCCTTCGGTGTTATTTTGTGACCTAAATAAAGTTTTGTTTTGTTTTTTTTACATTTTATAAATACGGATCTCTTTATTAGGTTAGTATATCTACATTGTCTTTATCATGTTATTTCAATGTGAACTTGTAAGACGATTTTACTGAATAAATATCCATCTATTTACTCTGGATAAATACTTAATATACTGCATTGATTTGAGTTTATCTTGGTGTGATCATCATCTATTAGGAAGATTAACGGAGTCATCATAATAATTCTAACTTGTATAAATTTTAATGTTTAATAAAAGTAAGATGAATGAACAATCATTCTGCCATATAAAAATACACACAAACAAGACAGAAAAGGTTAACATACAAAACTAAGCATAATTACGTGTACAATAGATTTTACAGTCGCCGGAATATGGCATCTATATTGTTGGTGCGGTACAGAGACACCTCTAGAATAATAATACAAACTATTAATGCATGAACGTTAATTAACATCATTGTAAACATGGTATGATTCACCACAAGTCAAAATTATGGCTTAACGAACACTTATGAAACAGTAGATACGTCATTGCCTTGTTCACTAACCACTATTTATGTCAGAGGCAGCCATTGATGAAGACTGAGGAAGCAGATAAACATAACATTTACATTAATACAAAACGCTCAATAAATTGACTTGTGAGTTAGTTGGTGGATGAGTAGGGAGGTGTGTGTTGTGTGGTGGTGAGCCGAGGTCCTCGTCCAGCGTGTGACAGGCAGGTTACCATCACCAGGTGGACCCTGGACAGCTGGAACATTACCATACCTAAACACCATACTCCTCATCCAAGCTCATTAGGGATAATATTACGGTATCAAATCCAACAACTGTTACCATACAATAATAAAAAAAGATGACATGCACAGGTCGGAGTTATCAATAAAGCTTAAAAAATAAATACATAAACCGATCGTAAAAAAATTGCAGGTCATAAAGTCAATAAGAGGGAAAGTACCTGTTGGTACCCGAGTGTGCGTCTGGTGAGATTATAGAAGTGAGCGGATGCGGAGTGAAGGAGAAGGAGTTTTGATGAAGGACACACGATGGTCTTTTGTGAGGTCAGTAGTTGTAGTATAAAAGAAGGGAAGGACTCGAGAGGACAGTACACTCCACCATGAAGCTCCTGGTGAGTTGTCTCTCTTCTTCTCTGAGTGTGACCATAAGGACTAGCCAGTGTTACGTTCCACAAACCCGGACAGTTACCCGGGATGTATATACGTGAGGCGACTTAGTGATGAAGTGTTCTCCACCAGCCAGTCGTCTGAGGAATAACTCTTGTGTACTGAGACAAAGGTGACCAACAGTAGTCACTAGTTGCGTTAAGCCGCACTTGAAAACTTAACATACCTCAATGCGAAAACACATTTTATTTATGCCAGGAAATGCGGGCAATGGGTCAACCAAATAATTTCATAAAGAAACAATTCTACCAGGAGTAAAGCTGATGCAGAGAACTAACTGACGGTGTATAAATAAGTAGTTCCCCACATATGTAAGATGATACTTGTGCCACCAGTGTACCACGTCAACAGTTATGAAATTGCGCTTGGGCAAGTCTCTTAAACAATGAACGGAGTCTTTCAACGTTACTTATCTGAGAATGTGGTAGAGACAATGCTTATGTAAACGGTAATTTATATTAATATTTACACATTCTGGGGGGCGTAGGGTTGGCTTACCACTGATAATGATGGTAAATTAAAGTTCGGCGTTATGGCTGCACTGGAAGTGACCGGGAGTCATTGTCCTCAGAAAAGAATAAATTTTTATGAGTTTTGTTTACATGACTCATCACATTCTTTGTTTTATAAAACAAAGTAAATTAGATTTTTTCTTTGTCTTACCTTTTTTTTCTGAATTAAGTCCTATTTACCCAATTTTATTATACATGAAAAGACGTGTTTTTATGGTGGTAATGTTACCTAAAAAAATACATATTTTTCCAGATACTGGCGTGTATGTTAGCAGCAGCCACGGCCGGCTCACTTCAGAGCTACAGCCTACCAACACCCTCTGGCCCTGGCTTCTCAGTAGGCAGTTCCTCTACCGATTTGGGATCCTCTGCTGGCGGTACAGGATTCTTTGGCGACTCTGGAATTTCTGGTGGCTCTGAATTTTCTGCGGGCTCAGGGTTCTCACGATTCTCTGTTGGGTTAGGGATCTCTGGAGGTTCAGGGTTCTCTGGAGGTTCAGGGATCTTTGGGGGTTCAGGGTTCTCTGGAGGTTCAGGGATCTCTGGAGGTTCAGGGTTCTCTGGGGGCCCCGGCCCGTTTGACAGCAGCTGTGGAGGAGGGCAGGTTCGTCATGTGGACGGCAGCTGCGTGACTCCTCAGGTCACCCGAAACTTGTTCCGGTACAGAGTTCCTCCAGCAACCCCGATCTTGGGTGCACGACCAAACGTTCCTCCACCAAAAGTTGAGGACAATATACTCTTCATCGAATTTCCAGAAGGACTTCTCAACCAAGAACCCATTGTGGTACCACCACCACAACAAAGAAACGTTGTGTACGTCCTCAACAAGCGGCCTCACCAAGATCACACGGTTGTCCACGCACCAGGACCTGAACAAGCGGCTCCTGAGGTGTTCTTCGTCAACTATGCTGAGGGCGAGAACCCGACATTACCCAGTGGTGGAGACCTCCAGTCCGCCCTCAGCTCAGCCTCTGACGGTGGTGGTGAACTTGTTGGCGATAGCGGTGGCAGAGGTGGAGGCACTAGTGGCATCGTCAGCAGCGGTGGCAGTATCGTCGGCGTCAGTGACTTTGTTAGTGGCGGTGGCAGCGTCAGTGGCATTATCAGCAGCGGTGGCAGCATCGTCGGCGTCAGTGATATTGTTAGTGGCGGTGGCAGCGGCACATCCGGGACCTCCGCCCCTTCTGGTCTCTACGGTCTGCCCTAGGAAGATGAATCCCACACAGGCGCCGTAACTGTAAAGCCTTCATGACTCTTCTTAAAGGCGGCAGTAAATGTTATTTCTATGGTCATATTTGTGGTAATTATATATTACTATTTATTCTTTGCTGGAGATGTTTTTACCTCTAATAATCAACTCCAGTAAGCCAATACACACAAAATATTACGAAAACAGTAAATAATATAAAACAGTTCCTTTGTACATGATTTTCCTCTTCAGTCATAATAAATATAAGTGAAAATAAAGCAGATCATTCTTGAATACTGTGAAGATTGAATACGGGAGACGAAGATAATTTTGCAGGAATATCAAAAATGTGCACAAAAGGACGTAAGAGTAACTGTGTCTACGTGTTGTTCCTCAGTTCTCACGCCTTGTGGATAATGCTACGACTGAGGCTGTTTCCTCCAAATTACCTTTAAAATTATAATTATTTGCTAAAATTATACAGGGTGCTTAATAAGTAACGCAAAACACAGAAGACAATGACCATGTACTGTACACATATATCTTCAGAACCCGAAAATGAAAAATTAGTCTGCAAGAGATCCATGGATGACCCCTTGACCTAATGGACATAATAGTGTCACTGATTATGTAAATTAGGGGATCATCTCACATAGATAACCGACAATATACCCGTTTAAGTTTCTTTTTCAGGGATAGTTAACTTCTTTTCTGAAGGTTTCAATTTTACACAAAAGTTTATAGAAGACAAACGCCAAACGACTGGCACAGGACAAACAGATGGCATGAGTCATGACAATTCCCTCTGGCCTATGGCGGCAGAGGGGTTATAAACCTTGTCTGATGATGTCGTATTTGTCTGCTGGTCAAGTCCTCACCCATGTGTGACAAGGGGAAGGCCTCATCCATCTGTGACAGGGGGAAGTCCTCACCCATATGTGACAGGGGGACGTCCTCACCCATATGTGACAGGGGGACGTCCTCACCCATATGTGACAAGGGGAAGTCCTCATCCATCTGTGACAGGGGGAAGTCCTCACCCATATGTGACAGGGGGACGTCCTCACCCATATGTGACAGGGGGACGTCCTCACCCATGTGTGACAGGGGGACGTCCTCATCCATGTGTGACAGGGGGACGTCCTCACCCATGTGTGACAGGGGGACGTCCTCACCCATGTGTGACAGGGGGGTGGCCTCATCCATGTGTGACAGGGGGACGTCCTCACCCATGTCTGACAGGGGGACATCCTCACCCATGTCTGACAGGGGACGTCCTCACCCATGTCTGACAGGGGGACGTGACAGGGGGACGTCTCACCCATGTGTGACAGGGGGTGGCCTCATCCATCTGTGACAGGGACGACCCATGTGTGACAGGGGACGTCCTCACCCATGTGTGACAGGGGACGTCCTCACCCATATGTGACAGGGGACGTCCTCACCCATGTGTGACAGGGGAAGTCTCATCCATCTGTGACAGGGACGTCCTCACCCATGTGTGACAGGGGGTGGCCTCATCCATGTGTGACAGGGGACGTCCTCACCCATGTCTGACAGGGGACATCCTCACCCATGTCTGACAGGGGACGTCCTCACCCATGTCTGACAGGGGGACGTCCTCACCCTGTCTGACAGGGGGACATCTCACCCATGTCTGACAGGGGACGTCTCACCCATGACAGGGGACGTCCACCCATGTGTGACAGGGGGACGTGGCCTCATCCATCAGGGGACGTGTCTGACAGGGGACATCCTCACCCATGTCTGACAGGGGACGTCCTCACCCATGTCTGACAGGGGACGTCCTCACCCATGACAGGGGGTGGCCTCATCCATGTGACAGGGGACGTCCTCACCCATGTGTGACAGGGGTGGCCTCATCCATCTGTGACAGGGGACGTCCTCACCCATGTGTGACAGGGACGTCCTCACCCATGTGTGACAGGGGACGTGGCCCATCCATGTCTGACAGGGGGGACGTCCTCACCCATATGTGACTGGGGACGTCATCACCCATGTGTGACAGGGGACGTCCTCACCCATGTGTGACAGGGGGGCCTCATCCATATGTGACAGGAGACGTCCTCACCCATATGTGACAGGGGGACGTCCTCATCCAAGTGTGACAGGGGGAAGTCCTCATCCATCCAGACAGGACGTCCTCACCCATGGTGTGACAGGGGGACGTCCTCACCCATGTGTGACAGGGGGGTGGCCTCATCCATGTGTGACAGGGGGACGTCCTCACCCATGTCTGACAGGGGGACGTCCTCACCCATGTCTGACAGGGGGACGTCCTCACCCATGTGTGACAGGGGGATGGCCTCACCCATGTGTGACAGGGAAATGTCATCACCCATGTGTGACAGGGGGAAGTCCTCACCCATGTGTGACAGGGGGATGGCCTCACCCATGTGTGACAGGGGAATGTCATCACCCATGTGTGACAGGGGGAAGTCCTCATCCATCTGTGACAGGGGGAAGTTCTCATCCGTATGTGACAGGGGACATCCTCACCCATGTGTGACAGGGGGATGGCCTCACCCATGTGTGACAGGGGGAAGATTTCACCCAGGTGTGACAGGGGGAAGACTTCACCCAGGTGTGACAGGGGAATAGCTTCATTAATGCAGGAATCAACATCATCACTGTAGTTAAGGTGTCCTAATCTGAGTGGAGGGGGGGGGTTACCACCAGTAAAATACCATCGGATAGCAAACACCTTAACTTACTCTAAAACCTAAATTCCATATGACCTGAATATCCGGAAGAGAGTTTTCCTGGGGAGCCGTTGGTCGGCTGTATGGCATGTGAGCGGGAGAAGGTATTTCTGGAGCTGCTCAGAGACTTCATGTACCTTGTATATATATATAAAATTCTCTCCTGATATTGCTGCGGCAAGAATCTCCTACTGGGTGTTATGGTAACTCCTTTGCCAAGAGGTGAGGCAGCAGAGAGAAGGACCTCAACTATGTAACACACATCTTGACATGGATAAATCGAGGAATTGGAGGAGATGGGACAGAGGGTCGCACCTGGGTCATGTGTCATTGTGTATCACATATTATGCCACCCTGGTGAAGGCTGTGGTGCCGGAGAGAGACAGGAGATAAAGTTTGTAATGGAGGAGATAGAGGCAGTGAAGGAGGAGAGGGAGGAGATACAGTAGAGGCAATGATGGAGAGGGGGGAGATAGGCAATGATGGGGGAGAAAGTGAAGTAATGTGATGCCGCCCACGTCTCTCGGTGTACCCGTCGCCTCCTACAGGAAATATGGAAACATCTTCTGTACGGGTATCCTGTAAACACAATACATTAAACAAACAGAACTGAATTCTGGTAAATCTTAATAAGAGGATGTAACACAAAATCTCTGAGTTCGATAACCACTATTTTCACGTTAAAATTTGAGGGTTATAGTTTACTGTGTCCGGGGTTCTATATTTGAGTGTACCAAAGTGCCTTCATTATTGTAACCATGAAATGAACACTATCGGTGATTTACCCATTATGATAGTTACATAAATATATAATTTCAATATATGAATATCTAAGTTGTCCTTTAAGGCATCCAATAAGTAAGAGCCTAGGCCTTTGACAAATAACGAAGTATTCTTATAACCTTCGCAATCTTTTGGGTACTTGTAATGTACTCGGAATCACAGTGGCATTAATAATATCCAGAATATGAAATAAGAGAAAATTAAAAAAACGCAGAATAACTACAGTAAATTAAACATTCTCTTGCACAAAACAAAACAGGAGGAGCGTGAGGTAGATACTATTTAAACGAAGCAAATATTACCAACTAACACGTACGATAAACTTCTTATATTTGCACAAAATAATGATACGTACACAGGTACACAGACAGTATATGATCACATTAAAAACTAATAATAATATTGTATTATAATAAATATCAACTTGTTACCAGTAATTCGGCATATGTTTTGGGTCCTTAAAAATAAAGGAAGCAGTACTGTGTATCGCCCTTTTAAGTGCAATAATTCGATTGAAAACAAAAGTAACTCGATGTGCTGCGGTTTAGTTAGCGTAGTATTAAGGTGTGTGTTGGTGAGCCGAATGTCTTCGTCCAGCACGTGACAGGCAGGTGACCATCACCAGGTGGACCCTGGAACATTACCAAACACCATATTCCTCCCCTACGTTCATTCAGGATAATATTAAAAAATCCACAACTCTTATTATACAGGCCGTTATCAATGAGATGAGAGTAGAGTTAAAAAAGACAATAATAAAATGAAAAACAGAATTAAAAAAAAAAACATTCAGGTCAAAACGTTGGTAAGAGGGAAAGTAGGTGGCGGTCTCTTGCACGCGTCAGATGAGATTCTTGAAGTGAGAGGAGAGGAAGGGAAGGGACTATTGATGAAGGACACATGCAAGTCTTTGAGAGTATATAAAGAGGGAAGGACTCGAGTGGACAGTACACTCCACCATGAAGCTCCTGGTGAGTTGTCTCTCTTCTTCTCTGAGTGTGACCATAAGGACTAGCCAGTGTTACGTTCCACAAACCCGGACAGTTACCCGGGATGTATATACGTGAGGCGACTTAGTGATGAAGTGTTCTCCACCAGCCAGTCGTCTGAGGAATAACTCTTGTGTACAGAAAGAAAACTAATTCCTGGAAGAAGGTTTAGGCGGAGAAGTGACGGAACATATCTTAGGTGTTTATCGTGTCTGTAACTGTTCAGTGAAGAACCACTGGTTACCATACTAAGGCTAACACACACACGACTCTGCTTCTATTAAACTGTTTAATTGTACTATTTTTCGCTGTAAAAGAGGATGACGATATTAGTAAAAAAATTTATGTTCAGCAACATAGTTGTCAAGTGATAAGAATAGTGAAGTCTTTGTCGTTCATAGAAACATACAGTGGTTATGGATGGTTATGGTAAGAGCCACTGCTTCAAGGTAACACTGAATCTCAGGTACCGGTAATAGTGGCAGCTGTGTTGCTTATTGTTAGTATTGTGTATCGGAACACTGGTACAGGCCGAAAAGGTTTTAATGCACGGGATCACTATTAAAAATTAAACAATTATTGTAATGTTATTGAAGGCTAAGCAATGGGTGTTTTGTTTTTTTGTGTTGTTTACATTTTAGATGCGAAATTTCTTGCAAAATGTAATTAGTCACAAGTTTCTAGTGCATTTAAATATTTTCTTTATAATATGCTTAATATCATATCCTATATCTTCATATTTCAAGTAGGTATCAAAACACACACAATTAGCATACTCAATATTATGAAAATACTGAGTCATCAAAAATAAGTGTTTGAGATATGTACGTATTATTCCACAGATATTGGCGAGCATATTAGCAGCGGCCACGGCCGGCTCACTTCAGAGCTACAGCCTACCATCACACTCTGGCTCTGGCTTCTCCGCCGGCAGCTTCTCGGCTGGTAGCACAGGGTTCCCTGGGGGCTCAGGATTCTCTGGAGGATTAGGGATCACTGGAGCTTCAGGGTTCTCTGGAGGTTCAGGGATCTCTGGAGGTTCAGGGTTCTCTGGAGGTTTAGGGATCTCTGGGGGCTCAGGGTTCTCTGGGGGCCCCGACCCGTTTGACAGCAGCTGTGGAGGAGGGCAGGTTCGTCATGTGGACGGCAGCTGCGTGACTCCTCAGGTCACCCGAAACTTGTTCCGGTACAGAGTTCCTCCAGCAACCCCGATCTTGGGTCCACGACCAAACGTTCCTCCACCAAGAGTTGAGGACAATATACTCTTCATCGAATTTCCAGAAGGACTTCTCAACCAAGAACCCATTGTGGTACCACCACCACAACAAAGAAACGTTGTGTACGTCCTCAACAAGCGGCCTCACCAAGATCACACGGTTGTCCACGCACCAGGACCTGAACAAGCGGCTCCTGAGGTGTTCTTCGTCAACTATGCTGAGGGCGAGAACCCGACATTACCTAGTGGTGGAGACCTCCAGTCCGCCCTCAGCTTAGCCTCTGACGGTGGAGGTGAACTGGTTGGTGACAGCGGAGGCAGCATTGGGGGCATAAGTGGCATCACCACCGGCGGTGGTGGCACCGGTGTGTCCGGCGTCTCCGCCCCGTCTGATATATATGGCGTTCCTTAGGACGACGCGTCTACTCCAGGTGCCAAACACTAAGAGCCTTATTTTTCTTCTTCTTCTTCTTCTTCTTCTTCTTAAGGAGAACATATTCTGGAAGGTTCATTTATTTATGGCACACTTATTTATATCGCTTCTGTCTTTATTAAATTTTCCTCTATGATTACCCAAGTTTTTTTATCTTCGAATTATAATAAACTAACAAATATTTAGTTTCTGCCTAACTGCCCTTCTCATAATAGTTGTGATAAATTACCTGTTGATCATAATGATAAGAAGTTATAATAAATTGTAAATAATACTAATGATCGTGTAGACCAGACTTTCAGAAAAGCTCCTCGAGTAATATAAATGATGGAGAGTTACTCATCACTAAACAAGTGAGTGTATAAATGCACCAACATAAATGTTCACCCACAATCTTCAATCTTTTACGAAATTTCATGTGTGAATTATACACCGACTCTTTAAAGAAATAAAAGATAAGGAAAGGATGTCATTATTTTTTATGATAATTTTAATAAAAAATATGTCTGTCTAAATGTAGGAAAATATGTGATATCGGGTGGAGAAGTTAATAGCGCTTATTTAAACCAACTTAGTTATTATGGGTCCAGTATCTAATATAATATAGGACTAGACGTGTGTCTGTCTGTCTGTCTGTTCTAGGCAGCCGAAACGGCATTAACAATTTTATTTACGATGGAAAACGATGCAAGCCTACGGACTTGGCGCACCCTAATTAACCATGCAAGTCTACGGACTTGGCGCACCCTCATTCGCCGTACGCTAGTCAAGGACGAGCGTTCAAACTTTCACTGGGCACGAAGGTGCCCGCGATCACTTGTAGTTACTACTGGCCAACAACGCTCTGCAAGCATCAGCGCGGGCGCGCGCACACACACACACACACACACACACACACACACACGAAAAAAAGTTCGTGAAGCTACGCCGATTCCACCTACAACCTGCATGGACACCCGCGTCCCAGCGAGTCGTTCAAACACCAGCAGTACCGTACATGTTGGCGACTCTACTGTACCGGTGGCTGGGATCATCACGATCTATGAGCAACGATGTGAGAGGTTAGATCAGAAATTAACCCATTGTCGCCACTCTATAACATTTAAAGGTGAACAGTCGTCACAAACATGCGCTACTCATCAGGATGTAGACTTAAAAAGACTTCAAAGTAATTTGCCAGATTACTGAATTATTCCTTTTGCCATCTACAAATAACTATCTAATGCTGTACCGCAATGGCATGATAGAGTAGTTTATATATATATATATATATATATATATATATATATATATATATATATATATATATATATATATATATATATATATATATATATATATATATATATAAACGTTTTCATTGTAGATCCACAATGAAAACGTGGATAAGATAAATCTTGATAAAATCACACGGGAAAAGGGAAACAACGGAGCACCTTAGCTTCCGTCTTTATTCAAGACATCCTCAGAAGCAACTGGATTACATGGACAGAGAAAGGCTTAAATATACAGGGTGACCTTATTAAACATGAGGTCAGGTCATAATGATGTCATCCACAAATCCCCACACCAACACACACGTAGAGGAGCTTAAGAGAAGGGGCGACGTGACTAGTCAGGTCAGGTCAAAAATAAGGGACCCACAAAATAACTATCCTACATCTAGATGAAAGGTTTTCAAAGCATTTTTAACCTTGGGCCACTGACAAATAAATTTATGTAACATATTATCAGTTTTGAACTGACCATCACTAAGGTTTATTAATTTTAATTCCTTAATCAAACTAGCTTCAACCAGAAGTCTTTCTGTGACACAAGATGATTTAAATACTTCTAAGCTTTTTTCCCAAGCAATGGGATGATTATTATTCCTAACATGAACGAACAGGGCACTGCTTTCAGATGCTGTTCTGATATTGTACTTATGTTGTCTGATTCTGAGCTGCAGTGTTTTTCCTGTCTGTCCTACATAATTACCATTACATTTGCTACATGGAATACAATAATCACTTCCATTTACATTTAAACTTGGGCTATTTTTTATTAACATATTGGTAATGGTTGAGTCATACTTGAAAACAGCATTAATATTTAGTAGTTTGAGGGACCGAACTAACGGGACAAATTCATTACGATAGGGCAGAGTCAAAATATTCTTACGTGTAGGAATTTGCCTGGTTTGAGAGGAATGAAAGGATTTTTTAGCCCTCTTAAAACAACGATCAACAAACACAGAAGGGTACCCAAGTTTTTGTGCAATGGAAGGAATGTGTTTCAATTTATCATCAATAAATTCAGAGTCACAAATACGCAGACATCTTAAGAACATAGCAGAAAAAACTGACATTTTGGTAGACTCCAGGTGATTCGATAATAAGTGTATGAAACTGTCTACCTGTGTGGGCTTTCTGTATACCTTAAATTTGTAGTTTTGGCCATTTCTCATGATAAGCATATCAAGGAATGGAAGGGATCCATTTATTTCTCTTTCAGGCTAGAGGAGCGGAAAGACAATTACCCATGCTCATGCCAAATATTTGCTTGTAAAACTTCCCATTTGCTCTAAACACATTGTCAGTTACGCATAACTCTATCAATTTGAGAAAAGTATCATGTTCAATAGTTAAATCTAACAGTTGTAATTTATCTTTAAGAAATGAAAGTAGGTCTTTCACAGGTACTCTAGTGAAAAGTGAATTTACATCAAAACTTATTAATTCACAAGGTTCATTGTGTTTCTTGAGTTTATCAATTAAATCACTGCTATTGTGTATATGTGAATTAGATATTTGGCCTGTAAGAGGGGATAGCATCTTTACCAGCCACTTGGATAATTTGTAAGTAACAGAACCCACAGAACTCCCTTTTCCCGTGTGATTTTATCGATATATATATATATATATATATATATATATATATATATATATATATATATATATGATGTTCCGAGAAGTACAGAGCGAGGAGACGTAAAAACGATTTAGGTTAACCGACGACCAAGGTCTTACTTGACATTGCCGCCGACAACATACGGAGGCGGAAAAGTCGCAGCTTCGGAGAAACTCTCTCGCACTAAATGATGATGGCCTTCAAGCACGCAAACATGCTGTCTGTGCGGAAGACTGCCGGCCCTGCATTGGTTTAATTAGGTTAGGTTAGGTTTAAGTTCAAGGTCAAAGGTCACGAATTTCTGTGACGCCTTAAGTTTTTCTTATGTCGCGTGTCTTCCGTCCCATAAGAAACAAAAGAGACCAATAACACCCAAAATAACTCACCCATCTCCCAGCGTTGTTCATTACCGATCACCATGAAATTACACCAGGCGATAAGGACGTTGTAACGCTATTGTTCAATTAATGACAAAGAGTTTTATCAGTTATAATTCTTTACTTGTTAGTGGACAAATGTAATTACTAACCAAGTTACGCGCTGAAAGACATTAGTGGTTGAAACACGGTAATAGAATCGTCATTGCCAAGTGATATATGCAACCTAAGCTCAACATAGCTGACTGACCACTCCATCCCAGTAATATTCATGATAAATACATAATTTCTCAGTGTTATTTCCTCTGCAGCCGATGTATTCAGAAGCAATATGACCTACGTGTGGGTGTGGTGCACGAGAGGTGAGTGTAAATACAACAGATAAAATGCAGAACATAGCAGCAGTTACGAGAGAAAATTATATATAACATCTCCAAACCACTAATGAACAAGTATGGAGCGATACTAAACTAGGAAGAAACAGACAAGAGAAAAGAAATGAACAAGAGATTTGCAACTATAGTGAGGAACATTTTAACACAAATACAACATGTCGAGTTAAGGATATAGAAGGTTAAATAAAAAAAAAACTCATAATTTAATATGTATTTAGGTTTGAATAGTCCATAGTAGCAAGAACGCTTATTTTTCGAGTAATTAACATAACTTCTCCATGGTAATTAAAGAAGCAGAATTGAAAAAATCTAAAATATGGCCGTATTATTGCTACATACACATCAAAGACCTTTCTGTAACCTGGCAGTGAAGTAGGAATACCTCCAGTCTTCATGTTTCAAGGTTAGTGTTGTGTATTTACGGTCTTTATATTGGCACTTAAGATAATTTTCAGGTTATGTTCAATATTAAACATTATAATATGATGAATATCAAAATGCTGATCTAATTGTCTCAGAGGAAATAAAATACAATACTACTCATAAAACAACTTGTCGTCAACAGAATATGGAATTAGTGTAATCTGCCTTTCGAGGTCAAAGGCCACGACACGTTATCTTATTTTTGTTTTATCCAGTTACCTTAACCACATTCAGTTCAGTTTATAAAATATTTCTTGGAGTATTGCTGAAATTCCTGCACTCAATAATCGAGATAGGTCTAACCCTCTGATTACTATGTTACGATGTTATTTACTTAGACTTTAGCAAAGCATTTGACAGAGTACCGCATCAGAGGCTTCAGAGAAAAATTAAGGCTCATGGTATCGAGGGGAAAGTTTTAAATTGGATAAAATCATGGCTCACCGATAGAACGCAGAGGGTCAGCGTAGATGGTGTTAAATCTGAGTGGGGCCGTGTAACCAGTGGGGTTCCCCAGGGGTCAGTACTAGGCCCACTCTTGTTCATAATCTACATAAACGATTTAGATACTGGGATCAGCAGTGACATAAGCAAGTTTGCGGATGACACCAAAATAGGGCGGCAAATTAATTCAGGGCAGGATGCAAATGCATTACAGGAGGATCTAAATAAACTGCAGGGGTGGTCTGAAAAATGGCAAATGAAATTCAACACCAGCAAGTGCAGCGTACTTAATATTGGAAGAACAAATACTTATAATGTATACAGCCTGAACAACATCAACCTAGAGAAGTCGACTTGTGAAAGAGACCTAGGGGTACTTGTAAGCCCGGACCTACGGCCTAGAAAACAGTGCGTTAATGTTCGAAATAAGGCAAACAGAGTATTGGGTTTTATATCTAGAAGTGTAAGTAACAAGAGTGCAGAGGTCTTATTGCAACTATATCTTGCGCTAGTTAGGCCGCACCTCGATTATGCGGTTCAGTTCTGGTGCCCCTATTATAGAATGGATATAAATTCACTAGAATCGGTGCAGCGAAGAATGACAAAAATGATTCCGGGACTTAGCAACCTTCCATATCAGGATAGGTTAAAGAAACTTAACTTGCATTCCCTAGAAAGACGAAGAGTGCGGGGAGATATGATAGAAGTATTTAAGTGGGTGAAAGGAATCAATAAAGGGGATATAGATAAAGTTCTTATAATATCCGAGCAGGATAGGACTCGGAGCAACGGATTCAAGTTGGATAAGTTTAGGTTTAGGAGGGAGATAGGAAGAAACTGGTTCACAAATAGGGTGGTGGACGAGTGGAACAAGCTTAGCAACTTTGTAGTAAGTGCGGGAACTCTGGAAAGTTTCAAAAAGAGGCTAGATAGATTCATGGATGATAGAGAGTGGTAGTAACTCTCGACAGGAGCTGCCATGCACAGGCCAACTGGCCTATTGCAGACTCCTTATTTTCTTATGTTCTTATGTTCTTACTATGGGTATACCTCATCTGGATAGAATCGTCTGGTGTTGGCCAAAATAAAGTTCTTAAAGTCGTTCAAAAAAATCATAGGGTCAACAAGATACATTATGAACGAGGGCTGGGAACCTGAAGTGACAAAGGACATGTCATCAGTGGACTAAGGAGAGCCTCTACTGGATTCCACGAAATAGGAAAACACCAACTACTAAACAGATGCTCAGAGGGCAAGATCTATTTAAATCACGAGACAGGAAGCATAAGATGGATACCTTTAATTAGTCAACTGACACAAACTGACCATGTATTTATATCACACGTTTGTCCTGTACGTGTCATTAAAAACATTATCTAAAATTTGTCTACCTGTATCGTAAAATTAAGCTCCTATATTCATTACCTGTAAATTCTACTCGAAATACACTGACAAGAGCCTTGTTTTCGAGTAATTACCCGTAAGATCCCATCTGAAATAAACCAATAAGTACACTAAATGTACATATACAAACTGTAAAAGTTGTCTGCAGTAACCCCACGAATTAATTTTATAGTTACATATTAAGCGGTCAGCTATAACAAAAAATTAGCATCATTTAATATGTTTTATGTTCTCTTGATTTCTTTGAATCTGGGCCACTACTTTCATTAATATGAAAGATATAAAATCACACAAATATTAAATTACTAATATATATTACAGTAGCAGAAATAATGCCACTTACTTCTGCTTTTGAAGAAAAAATTCCTGAAAATAAACAAATTACAATGTGTAGGGTGAGCCATGCACACTAGACCTGGTGTAAAGTATATCTTCGTTGTTAAACACACTGGTTCTTTTAACACCGCTATTAACAACCTCACCATCTCTCTCAGCAGCGATACTGAGGGCGGACTGGAGCTTCCCACCACGAGGTAAAGTCGGGTTCTCGCCCTCAGCATAGTTGACGAAGTACACCTCAGGAGCTGGTTGTTCAGGTCCTGGTGCGTGAACAACCGTGTGCTCTTGGTTAGGCTGCTTGTTGAGGACGTACACAACGTTTCTTTGTTGTGGTGGGGGTACCACAATGGGTTTTCGATTCAAAAGTCCCACTGGAAGATGGATGAAGAATATATTGTTTTCAATTATCGGTGGAGGAAGGACTGGTCGTGGATCCACTATCGAGGATGCAAGAGGAATCCTAAAGTGATACACATTCCGATTGACCTGAGGAGTCACGCAGCTGCCGTCCACATGACGGACCTGTCCTGATCCACAGCTGGGGCTCCCCTCATACCCTGCGTCGCCATAGTGCATCGAACTATTAGTGGAGGCCTCTAAAGGAATATTTCCGCTCCTTAGGAATTGTCTTAAGTCGACAGAATGACTCTTTGTTTTGTCGGGTTTAGTGGTAGTTGGCAGGCTATAGCTCTGAAGTCTTTCGGCTCTGACCACATTCCGAGTGACCTGAGGAGTCACGCAACTGCCGTCCACATGACGGACCTGTCCTGATCCACAGCTGGGGCTCCCTTCATACCCTGCGTCGCCATAGTGCATCGAACTATTAGTGGAGGCCTCTAAACGACTCTTTCCGCTCCTTAGGAATTGTCTTAAGTCGACAGTAGGACTCTCTGTATTGTAGGGTTCAGGGATGGTTGGCAGGCTATAACTCTGAAGTCTTCCGGCTCTGGCCACTGCGAATATGGACACCAGTATCTGTGGAATATATTATTTTTACTGAGATATGGACACATCTGTCATGGCCATTTAAACATTCTCTTGGTGCAGATTGTGTTAGATAAATCTTTTCAACAATCTGGCTCTGGAAAAGGAAAATAAAATTTACTGTTTATAAGGCCACGTCCTTACCTCCTAACCTAAATAAAAAATGTGATTTGCCCCAAAGATAAATGTCAGAATCATCTTAAACAGCAAGAAAACTAGCGATTTTTTTTCATGTGAAAAAAGTTGATGGGTGGGTCACAAAAAATAAACAAAGAGGGGATGACTGGAAATCACTAAGAGAGTCAATGCTGCGTTTCCTGGTGTGGCAGAGTGTGAGACACGCTGATTCTCAGTATTGTCCAAGTCAAGAAAGAAGATCTCTGCTATAAAGAGGGAATACACGTAATATATTCACACTATATTTAATAATATACACACTATATTCATTAAATATATCTCTCCTTTCCCGATAAATGCGTTGCCACCGCTGATAATGTTGTTGGATCGCCAGGGTATCAACTGACAGACGACTATTACGGGACTTAAAAGTGCTCCCGAGGTCTTATAACTTAACAGTACTATTAAGGCCGTTAAAAGTTTTGTGTATGTACTATTAGTGCTTAACAGGAAAATGTCAACCTTAACAACTTAAAAGCTTTGTGTATACCGGCCCTGGTTTTTGTTTCGTCAGGTTGCACCAACACTGACCATCCAAGCTAACATTCAACATTTATAAGCAAAGCCCGCTGTACGCAAACTCGACAAGTATCTTCTTACAACCTGGAGCAAGATACCTTTGAGACAGATTCTAAAATCGACAAGGACTTTCCTATCCTAAAAATAAAGACATCTACACAATATCATGAATAGGAATAAATTGTCGAAATGAATCCTACCAAGTATCATTACGGTCGGTACATACAACTCTTGTTATGGTCCGGACTCTTAAACTCTAAATTTAGCAACAATGATCATAACTTTCCACTAAATTACCCCAAAATTTCAGCCATAATCAATGCTATCATGACAATGTAAATTATCAGCCTTTGCCAATACTACCACAGCAATAAAAGATTCAAGTCAATACCTAAATAATATAAACTCTTAACCATTAATAGTGTCACCAAATTACCACAGGCGAGTTGATTCTATCACTGAAGACCTCCTATAGATACAGACAACAATTGTTACTACACCGCATCAAACCTCTACGCTTTTACCGAAGCTCAACACATGGGCCATGCTAGGATTTAATTTCTTCCAGAACACGCGTGTTATTCCTCGCACGACCGGCTGGTGGAGAACACTTCATCACTAAGTCGCCTCACACTTCAACGTTCGAGTTTGTGGTGAATAATAACACTGGCTCGTCCTCACGGTCACATTCAGAGAGGAGAGACAACTCACCTGGAGCTTCATGGTGGAGTGTACTGTACTATCCACTCGAGCGTTCTCCTCTTTTATACTACAACTCCTACTGACCTCGGAAAGAACATCCTGTGTCCTTCATTGATCCTCTTCCCCTTCCGTCGTTCCGTTCCCACTTCATTATCAACATCCTGGTTCGAGAGTCAATGCCAACACCATATATTGCTTTCCTTGTTTACCACTTGGTTATTCTTTTCCTATTTTGATTACTGGGTACCTTATTAACTATGTATCTTTGTCACCCCCCATTTAATCATACACTTCAAGGGTAAATTAATAAAATATCAATAAAATTTGATAAACATGTAAGAGAGAATAATATATAGTGACTGTAGTGTGTATGTGGTCACCGGCAGCTCACCCTCACACAACTACTGTACCTCCCCGCCAATTCATTCTAAACAATTTATTATATTTTCTTTAAGTGTAAATTCATCATTTATTTAATTTTACTCTCTCATCATCATCACCGAAGTAGTTTCAGACGTAAGCCTTCAGGTACACATGAGATTACTGGAGCACTGACCTGCATTAGATATTGAAACGTTCGTGACCATCCTTGACAGACAAACATGAAAAAACAACTCCCAATATGTCAGGTGAGTCTATTTCTTCCTCTGATTATTTTAATTGCCAAAAGCTCGGAAGTATTTACCTCTACGCCATATGAGTGTCCTCCTCCCGGAAGTTTAATTGTTATTTGTGGTTAAACGTCAACCAGAAAAGTTATCCCTCTCACTGTGGAAGGTGAACGAGTAGCCCTGCCTCTTACTAATATGGTGGCCTTCAATGAAATCTCTCTCGGAGAATTCGAAGGATGTCCGCCGAGACTAGTTCTAGCAAGTTTTTTTTATCTCAATCGCTGCCATCACGACTGCGTGAGTACAGGACTTTCAAGATGATCACTCCGGTGGTCGTTTAAGGTCAAGGGTAGTACACATCTCTAATAAACCAGAGTGCCAATCAGAGCTGGAGTCTATCACATCTTAGTCAACAGTACAGATACCGAACCCGTCTGGGCTTAATAATTAGTCACACGCTTACTTGGGGTCAAGAATCAATATTGGTACAAACACCTGTAAAGGCCAGTGTAATCATGCTTGGATGAATACACCAGCACGTGACCATTACTGAGACTATAATATGTAACATACCTGCATAAGGTCACCCACTCATATAAGACCTGTACTGACATTAGCTTATATAAAAACACTTGCCTAAGGTTAATACCGAGTCAGGTTTGAATCAAGACACCTACGAAAGGTAAGTACTGAGACAAACTTGGAAAAAAAAACACCTGTACAAGGCTGGTACAGAATCACCCTTGGAAAAATATACCTGTACAAGGTAAACATTGAGTCTGGGGTTGATGTACCCCCTGTGTGATGCCACTCGTCCGACAAGTCTTCTTCATCTATGACCTGATAATTCTCACTGACTCCTCCCAAACTTGTTCTCTTAATCATTATTTGTAGAGCATCACATGCAGCATCCCCCAGTGTGAGTCATGTGTAGCATCCCACCAGTTTGAGTCACTTGCGACATCCCATCAGTGTGAGTCACTTGCAGCATCCCACCAGTGAGTCATTTGTGGCATCCCACCATTGAGTCAATTGCAGCATCACAACAGTGAGTCACTCGTGGCATCCCACCATTCTGAGTCACCTATGACATCCCACCAGTGAGAGTCATTTGCAGCATCCCACCAGTGTGAGTCACTTGTGACATCCCACAATTGAGTCACTTGTGGCATCCCACCACCCACCAACGAGGCACAAATCAAGAGCACCGGTTCATCATTTTCCTGTTATCAGGTCATTCACGGATTCGTGTTGGGTCAGAGACTAAGTGGATGAAGTCGTTCTTAAAGGAAAGGTTTTCAAATCGGGTCTGTGTGTCCGAGAAGAGAGGGGATAATGTGTACACTGATATCAAGGACGAAAATTCCAGGAGGGCGTTTAAAGGAGGAGAAGATTTCAGTTTTTTAGGTCAAAAATTGAGTGTAAGAAGAGTGAGGTTGGGGAAAAGTAGATGCAACAGAAGGAAGTAAGTTTATGGAGAAGTGAAAGCTTGCGCCGCAGCAGATCATGGTTGGAGCACACGAGGTTTGATACTAGAAGAGAAGATCTGAACGGAAAAAGGAAGAGATGAATGCTTAGTTGGGAATTAAGTACCGTTAAGCCTTAGAGGTCATGAGCTGGGGAAACCTGAGTACAGTATCTAAGAAAATAAAATAGAGTGGAGGTGATGACTGAAGGTAAACTAATAATAATAATAATAATAATAATAATAAAAATAATAATAAAAATAATAATAATAATAATAATAATAATAATAATAATAATAATAATAATAATAATAATAATAATAATAATAATAATAATAATAATAATAATAATAATAATAATAATTAACGGTTTATTGAAAAAGTTCTGTAGCCCGAAGGCTGAAAATATACATTGGACATAGATGACTTATTACATACATTGGTGGTTTAACAAAAGCCTTCATTAGAGAGAGGTAAAGGAATATACAGTGAGCATACAGATTAATGTAGGATTGTACGTGTTGAACAGCAAACACGTAGTGTAGTAACTCCCTCCCAGATGGTGTTATGAGGGACCACAAGGTTCATGTTCGTATGGCTGTGTAACTTCATCTCTTTACAAACCTCCTGCTATAATATCTATCTATACTTTTTACCTCTACATTCCCCCCCATTACACTGGTAGCAGCGCACTTAACGTAAACCCCCCCCCCTCGTTTAGCCATAACACCTGGCTCGTCTCCTCCTTCATTTAAGTCAGCTTGAGCATTGCTTAACCGTGTGTAGTAAGGAATTCTGTGTAGTAGTACAGCGTGAAAAGTGTCCTAGTGTGTCATCTTTACAGCTCAAGTAAATGTTTATCATCTTGGTATGTGCAAATTGTTACTAGCATAACACTCTCCCCAATATATGTTCAGTGCTTAATATAATCTGACAGTGTCCCCCGCGATTTCTAACGTTCTCAGTATCCCTAGTGCATTTTAATTGTCGGTCAGTGTTAAATGTACCCATTGTGTTTTAGTGATAGAAGCTGTGCCTATACTACTAACTGTTATAACCTAACATATCTTATAACCTCCATCCTCCTCCCTGTCCTAATCCCTACTCAACCCACCTCACCCCACCCGTCTGCCCACCTACTGCCCTGCCCCGTCTCACCTGACTCTGCCCCACCCCGTGTGACCTCACAAATCCCCACTCCACCCGCCCCGCCTCACCCGCCCCGCCGTCGAGTCTGTTTTGTTCCTTAAGTTATGCTTTGAAATTGATGGTTAGTCTAACTTAATATTGCGATAATTGCAGAGCTTCACTCAGTGTATTTTTAGGCTAGTATGATTTATAATGTAAACTTTGACACGTAACATTCAGCGTAGTGAGCAGAGCTTCACTCCCCGAACCAGCCTTGAGAACATTGTCGTGACGGAAACCATAGTTGCCAAATATTGACGTAACGTATAGAGTAAATGTTTTTTTTTTTACGGATACACTTCCAACTAATCCATCATCCCTTTAGGATTGTCTTTCTCTGTCAAATGTCACACACAGTACCGCCCCATGGCCAGCCGGATATTAGAGATAACCATCTCACTTCGGCATGACCTGATGTCGCATGTCCAAGCTAAATGCAATGATCGGCCAGGATGACGTCACCTTACGACACAGCAGCAATCAAGAGATGACGATGGACCAAGCATTGACTCCAACCACCGCGTACTTAATATTGGAAGATCAAATACTGTCAATGCATACAGCCTTAACAACATCAACCTAGAGAAGTCGACTTGTGAAAGAGACTTAGGGGTACTTGTAAGCCCGGGCCTACGGCCGAGAAAACAATGCGTTAATGTTCGAAATAAGGCAAACAGAGTATTGGGTTTTATATCTAGAAGGGTAAGTAATAAGAGTGCAGACGTCTTATTGCAACTATATCTTGCGCTAGTCAGGCCGCACCTCGATTATGCGGTTCAGTTCTGGTGCCCTTATTATAGAATGGATATCAATTCACTAGAGTCGGTGCAGCGAAGAATGACGAAAATGATTCCGGGACTTAGAAACCTTCCATATCAAGATAGGTTAAAGAAACTAAACTTGCATTCCCTAGAAAGACGAAGAGTGCGGGGAAGATATGATAGAAGTATTTAAGTGGGTGAAAGGAATAAATAAAGGGGATATAGATAAAGTTCCACCCTGGGAAGAACGAGAAGTAGAGTTAGACACAGTGCCTCTCACAATGAAGAAATCATTGAGCCAGGACAGTTAAGGGCTTTATATGGGAATAAGATTAGTAATTTGCCTAAAATAAACACATTGCATGTATATTGTGACGGTTCAGTTATGTCAAGTGGCAGGGCAGGGTGCGGGATCCTTATAAGACAGTTACACAGAACAAGGAAATGATGACATCAAAATTGGACTTCGGTTGAGCAGTTTTATATCATCAACACAAGCTGAGTTATATGCAATGTTAGTAGGATTGGAAAATGTTGTAAAGAGGTATAAAGATGCATATTTTGTTGTTGATAGTAGGGCAGCTTTGGATTCTTTGAACAGTGGGAGTCCAGTCTTTAGACACATTATTGGTTCATGAAGAAAATTAGTGAATACAATAAGGAAAAATGGCCATAATATTCAATTTGTATGGGTCCCTTTACATGTAGACATTGGTCTTAATGAAGCAGTAGATATAATAGCAAAAAGAGCCACGGAAAAGGCCGAGATCGACATAATATGTACTAAAACCTTGAAACAATTAAGGAGCAAATTACGGAAAATAAATCAATAGCAGATAATTTCAAAAGGAATGAAATATACGAGAAAAGTGAAACAATGAAACATTACCATCATGTTCTCATGAACACAAAATTTACATATGGGAAAGATAGGAGTAGGTGGAAAGATTCAGTGTATATGAGGTTAAGATTAGGATATAAATATTATTGGTAACTTGGAGCTG